CTTACTTATACAAGAACTTTACAAAAACACTAGCCTAGTCAGTTAAACAACATAAAAAACAATACATTAGTATAAGAAAAACCACTAATAACAAACAAATATAAAAACAATAAAATAACTAACAACACACAAATACAAAAACAACACAGTTACCTACAAAACACTAAAACACAAAAAATTATACATCGAAGAAACACCAATACATAAAACTATACAGTTTGTAACACAATAATATCCGTTTTTTATTTAAACATAAATTCACTCGCCTCCAGCCCGTATTCCAATAATCACGATATCCTTGCTAGCCGCGAATAATGTTCTTAATAGAACATTTCCAATTTATATCTACCACTGAAATTGATGATAAAAATTACCCCGCTTGAAACTACTGCCCTTTAGTTTGATTACAGCAAATCAGACAAAAACGAAGCTAAATCTAAATTCTGTAATCCTTTGACGTAATTCACTCTTTCATAGACAGATGAAAAACTAGCATACAGGGTAGCTGTTAGAAGAATCACGAGCAACACAATGAAAATGTACCCGTTACAGGAAAAAACACGAGAGATGAGCTAAGCGGGGCAGGGGGAGCCTCAGCTGGGTTTTGTCGCAAATCTTAACAGCATAAAGTCACATAAATGTGCCTAGAAGTTCAGTGCACTGCCCAGGCGCATGTTTTTTCCATGCTTTGCTGCCGACGAATTCAAGAAAATACTAGCTTCCTGGTAAAAAAAGACATAATTATGCATACTGAAATATACCTTTAAATATGTATCCTGAAATTTCCTGGTTTGATTGTAGAGTTGCCCGGTCAGTTCACGCGTTGGCACCAATATCAAGCCCACTGGCGCATATCTCGAATTCGGCAGCTCGCCGTCTTTCCTCACTGTTTTGCCAGTGCCTGTTCCGGCGAGACCGAATAATTCCCATCCTAAACGAATCCGTTCAATTTATCAGCAATGAGCCAGCATTTACAATAATCCATGATTTTGAGCAAACGAAAAACTAGCAAATCAATGCCAATAAGACAGCTGAAATTTTTTTAAGCCGCATCAGCAACTTTTATCGGATTCTCCGCATTTGCCAACCCATCTAGTCCCAAAGTATTTCAAATCCAGTAGGACGGGGCAATTGCAAACCAGGAAGTAGAAAGCTGATATCCTAATAAAATAAGCACATTCAAGGCAAGATTTTTCAAAAACCTACTAAAAAAAAAGATGAATACAATGAACATCAAGACGGCCCGGTGCAATCGATTTGCTTTCCGTGAAAAAAATATTACCGACATGTTTCCGCACGTTAGGCAGTATGAAAGATTTCTTAATCCCAGGCTGCATACCTTAAATTAGCATTCACCACCAGCTCCAAGTGGTTGAGGCTCTGTCTCTCGGCTACCATTCACAAATGTGCCCCTGTTAGCATGCGAGTAACATGTACGGGCTGTAAAATTCCGGTCACTTTCCCCCTCCACCCGCCCAGTCACATCTTGCACGCTGCTCAACTAGCCGGTTTCGAACTCTGGCAACCCAATCCCATCGAAAAGACATTGTGCTGCACCATGTCTGCTGAGCTTAGCTGATAAGAACTAATGTCAGCCTAACCAACAGCTGGGCAGGAGGGGCAAGGGGAGTAGTCTACGCTGGATTTTGTCGCAAATCTTAACAACATGAAGTTACACGAGTATACCCAGAAGCTCAGTGCACTGCCCAGGCGCATGTTTTTCCATGCTTCACTGCCGATAAATTCAAGAAAATCCTAGTTCCCTGGTAAAAAAAAAACATAAATATGCATCCTGAAATATACCGTAAAATATACATCCTGAAACTTCCGGGTCTGATTGTACAGTTGCCC